CGCTTTAGGGAACGGGGGCACCTCCTCCCCCCCTTTTTGGATTTTGCTTTTTTGATGGATTTTGGTCCGGGAGAGTACTAACACCCACCTCGCCAAGGGGAAACTCGGGGTTTTGAGTTTTTGATAGGATTTATTGGGATTTTCTTAAATATTGTTTTTATTGATAAGGAAAGTGATAAGAATTTTATTTTATCGCCGCGAGCACGGCGACGCGGCTTAAGAGTCATACATTTGCCTCGGAACTTCATCTGAGTAGGTGGCTAGGTTGGTTAGGCGTTAGGATAAGTGACTCGAGGGTCGTGGGTTCGAACCGGCCTCTGGGATTTACTATAATTTGCGCCATCCGTGGTATTTTTTTTTTTCGAGTTTTTTTTTTCGTCACATTTTTTTTTTTTTTGGCAAAAAAATATTAATATATATTAAAGTAGATATTTTAAATTGTAACTAAATTGTATAATGATACTGTACTATTTTATAAATAATAATAATAATACTTGATTTTACCGTGACCAACGCACCTATATGTTTCTTATATAAATACAATATAATATAACTAACCTACATGTAGTACCTACTTGATATATTACAGTTTTTAGGTTAAATACTGTTTAATACGGTATTAATAAACTAATAGATCTAATAGAAATGATTAAACTCTGGCAGTTAAATAGTACGACTATATGACTGCTCTTTTTGCCGTTTTTTTTGAAAATTATAGTTTTAGCCCCTTTCGGTCATATCACCCTCCCCGTCGACTACTTATTCGCGTTCCCTGCTATATTTATAGCCACAGACGAGTCCCGGGATGGAGTAGTGTGTCGGAAACGAGAGTAGGTACCGCGTAGGTATCGCTATATACAGGCATATATACGCATGTATATACATGCGCCTCGAGGTTCGATTTTTTTCGCAAATCTCGCGTTTTGAACGTCCGAAGGTGGCGGACACGGTGGTCCGCTCAAACGCCCTTAAGAGTCATAGATTTGACTCCTAATTTCATCTCGGTAGGTGGCTAGGTAGGTTAGGCGTTAAAACGGGTGATTCGACGGTCGTGGTTTCGAACGCCGGCGGGCCGTGTTAAATCGAATTTCTTTTTTTTGCGTTTTTTTTTTCGTCACATTTTTCATTTTTAACGAAAGTGTTAATTTTTTTTTAAATTTGCATTATTATATTATATATATTATTATTATTCGTTTGACGATATTTATTGGGCAAAAAAATAATTATAATTAACATTTACCGACGCACCTACATGTTTCTTTTAATAATACATTATAATATAACTAACCTAGGTGTAGTACCTACTTGATATATTACAGTTTTTACGTGATTCCGATTTGGTTAAATACTGCTACAGATTATAAATACTATATTAAAAAATAGTACGACTGTAATATGACTGCTTCATTTGCCGTTTTTTTTCGAAAATTCGAGTCCCGGGGTGGAGTAGTGTGTCGGAAACGAGAGTATGTATAATGTATTCATTTATAGATACCTACGTTTAATAGGATAGTATTACATTTCAATAAAATTTGTTATTCACCAATATAATTATCTATTTGTTAATTTGACTTAATTCTCATAATTAAATAAATATACAAGGTAGGTATATTTTAGAAAATATCCAATCAGAAAATTAGATTTTGTCGACTTATTTGTTATAACCGCGAAAACATAACAATGATTACATTGATTACAGTGAAGCCTAACATAAAACACCTGATAACTGTTCTCTATAATTATCAACAAATACAATTTTATTACCTCCTGTATACTTTTTCATATTTGAACGGCCGTTTCGAGCACTTTTCGCTGTAGGCGGATTGTCCGTTCGGGAATCGGATTTCACCCGAGATGACTGATAACTAGACACTCAAACTCAGAATCCGAATTTCCGATTTCAACACACACACACCAGAACCGGACATACACGCCCGGTGCATGGTCTGCGATCCGACGTAGTCGGATTGCCTACCTGACTAGCTACTTCCATACGAGCGACTTACACCCCCACTGCATCTGACACTCGGGAATCGACTTTCACCCGAGATGACTGATAGCTAGATACTCAAACTCAGAATCCGAATTTCCGATTTCAACACACATACGAGAACCGGACATACACGCCCGGTGCATGGTCTGCGATCCGACGTAGTCGGATTGCCTACCTGACTAGCTACTTGCATACGAGCGACTTACACCCCCAGTGTCCCCCCACTGCATCCGACTCTCGGGAATCGACTTTTACCCGAGATGACTGATAGCTAGACACTCAAACCCAGAATCCGAATTTCCGATTTCAACACACACACACCAGAACCGGACATACCCGCCCGGTGCATGGTCTGTGATCCGACGTAGTCGGATTGCCTACCTGGCTGGCTGTGTCGTACGATCGACTTGAATCACGTGACTTACGACTAGACACTCTTCCGAGTTCAAAAATTACCGCTTAACCAGTGCTGCCAACACGACAAAACACAATAACCGACGACCCCCCATTCCCCTCGCAGGCTGGATCAAAAAACCCAGCATCGCCGACAAAGATGCACCACCGCCCACACAGTCTTTCCGCCGTAGGCGGGATGACAAACACCGGAATCTAGTTTATAATATAATACACTAAAAAATAATAAAATAAAAAATGTACATACGTCTATTTTGTAGTTGAATAATTTATATTTTGTCATGTTATTATTCATGATAACAATGACTATGATAAGCGGAGAAAAGCATCCGCCATGTTGGTTTGAGTTGCCAGCATACCTGTTTATTTTGTCATGTGTAGGAGTGATATTTCATACTCGTTACACTACACATTGATCATAATAAGAGTACCTAGATGGTAAATAGGAGAATAATATTATATTATTACGTAACTAATTTTTTTTTAAATGTCGGCATCTAAGTATAATCAAAATAATAATCAAAGAATTAAATTTATAGTTAAAGTCTGAAGAACAAAAAATGAAGTCACGTTCAAATTTGTTGATGTTTTAATAACAGTTTTTATTAAAAATCAATCTCACTAAATAAAGTTGTGACCGATGGTTATAACATACAAATCATTACCTACCTACGTATTAAAACCACTACCTACCTCAGCTACCTACAGTTTGTTATAATTTTGAAGAAATTACAATAGATATAGGTATTTGTTGTTGCATTAATAATCTTTTTAATTTTGTGGGTCAAAGTCTTCATTTGTCCTAACTCGTTATTCCTTAAGGGCTAATATTACCCTAGTCTACAAGGTAAATTTTTAAGAATTTCTTTATAAAAGTGCAAATTTTATTCAAATTATAAACTTTTGGAATTTTTAAGTACACCTAAATTCCATATTTTCAATTCCGATATTTTTTGTACTACTTACCTAAGGTGTGGTCTGCGGCGATACAAACTTCTATTTTTAAAATAAGAACTTCCCTTAATTACTTCTAATTATTAAGCGTATGATTTTATTGAAAATGCTGATGTACCTAAATCAAAATTCTATTGAAGTAGTATGGTTTTGTTCCTTCCGAGCCCCTTTTTTTACAGGGAGATTTCATCAGTTTAAGCCGAACATTTCTACATACTTCACCGTGTGTTTTGACCATTTTTTTACACTTTGTTTACAGTCTTGATGTGTTAAATTTTTCATTAATGTCTTACTCACTCATATTGGTAACACTGAACATTTTTATTACAATTATTAAAATTAATTTAGGTATACATTTTAGTAACTACCTAGATTTTTTTTTTCTTTTATTACGTTCAGTTGTAATTGTGAAATCGCTTCATACTATACCATTTGTTAAATCATGTTTTAAAATTATCAGTTAGGTACTAATGATCCGTCGTTTAGTCAAGTGGTGTTTCATCTTCTTTTATTTTCTCAAAGTTTTATAACATTGTTTTATAAGTTATTTAAATTATTCAAAAATGAATATTGAAAAATGCTCATACGATTTTCAATCATTAGTTTATCGTATACTACTGTTCAGATATACACTGTGGAGTATATAGAAATGTTCGCATTAAACTGATGAAATCTCCCTGTAAAAAATCTCTGTAAAAAAAGTGTTCAGAAGGAACAAAACCATACTACTTATTGAGTACCGTAAAATGAGGATACTTTGCACCAAATTTCTTGTTTTTTTAACTTAAAACATACACTGCTACTTTAATAATTAGGATATAATATTGCAATTTCCACAGTTTTCTAGCTATGAACATAAGGAATGTAAAGTCGAAGTTTAAATTTCATTAACTTAAAAAATAAATTTATAATTTTTTTTTTAAATTTTGGTGCAAAGTTATATGTCTGTTGGGGTGACTTTGCACCACTTACAATTTTACCTTGAAATATCATAGATAATCAATTCTGGTGCAAAGTAAAAATAATCAATGTTAACCTCAGGACATATAAATGTCATATGGGTAGTTTAAAAATAAAAAAACAATAACAAGATAACAAAAGAAGGTAATATTTAAATACAATTAAAATAAATAACAAAACTTTATTTTTTAATTCTTCAAATTAACTTAGCTAGATAGTAGTTATCACATTTTTAAATTATTTAAATATAAAATACTAATTATAAACTTTAAAATCAATATACAGATTAGAAATTTAATTGACAAGGAACAATTTAATTTAAGTAACAATTAAAAAATAATAAGTTCATAACAATAAAACAAAGTAAAATGTATCTATTAAATTAAATTAACAGTAGATATAAACATACAACATTTTTTTTCTTGTTTTGTGAATATGTTAGCAAATAAAATTAACAAAGGAAAACTTAGCAACTAGATAATATTTAAATACAATTAAAATGAGGAACAAAACTTTTTTCCAGTCTTCAAATTAATTTAGTAGGTATCACATTTTTTAATTATTGAAATATTAAATACTAGGTATAAACTTTAACAATTATCAATAAATAGATTAGGAATTAAAATCACTTCATAACAATTAAAAATAATAAGTTTATAACATTAATATAAATTTTGTATTATTCTGTGTACTCTTCAAGTTCATTTACTTTAAAATAGCCTCTTCTGATGAGTGTTGGTGGATTTATTTTCATCATTATATGTATCCAACTATAAAACATCTCGTCAGTTTTAACTGGCCATCTATAATATTTTTTAGATTTTTCCATGGACTGAATAAAAGCACCATTTTCTGTTGTATTTATTATGCGACCAGGGTACAAAGTTTCATCATATTTAAAAATCACAAAATCATTGATTGAATACTTGCCATTTTCACTTACTGGGCAGAATATGTCTAGATCATCTTCTACAGCTAAGTTTTGCCCCACATCTTCATTGTTATTTGGTTCAGGTTCATCAATATCTGAACTGTCTCCTTCATGGGCATAGCTCAAACCAGGTGCAATTTTTAACTTCTTTCTTATTTGCTTTTTTGTTTGAGTAGTTTCAGACCTTTTATTGTTTAGGTGCTCTATAAATGATTCTTCAACTGTAGAGCTTACATTTATAGCTTGTGGGAGTCTAGCCAATAATTCATCTGCATTACATGGGAAAATTCCACACTTTCTGAATCCATTTTTTAATGTCGACTCCATATTAAGTTTTAATACATCTAATAACTTTTTTAGTAGTTTTGGAAAGGACTGTTTTTGAAGCGTTGCATTTTGTATTCCTTCTGGAGTTGTTTTCCAGTCAGAAAGGATTTTCCTCCATGCAACCTTCATTGGGTGGAAAAAAGCAACATCTAGAGGTTGTGTCAGGTGTGTGCTATTCGGTGGTAAACATATAAAGTAAATATTTTCTTGTTTACACTTATCTATTATATATGGAGATATGTGAGATGATAAATTGTCTCCAATCACAACCTTTTTACCAGGTGTTTTTTTTAAATTCCTTATTAAAACTTTATCAAACCAATCACAAAATATACTTGCGTCAAACCATCCAGAAGGACTTGCATTGTATCGACATCCAGTAGGCCCACCTTCGGTCCATGGTTGCCATAGCCCTTTAGCCTTATAAACTACATAAGGAGGCAATAATTTCCCAGCAGCATTACCACACATCATAAGACTAATACTCACCTTTGAAGTATTACAAATCCTTTCGGGATACTTACTGCCTCTTTTGACAATTACCTTTTTTTGGCCAGGGTTATCAGTGAGGTTCGTTTCATCGTAATTATATATATTTTCCGGAAGAACATCACCAATAGTCTTCTGTAAATTATTTATATACTGTCTTATAATATCTTCATTTACCGCTGCTCTAGATCTCTTTATATTTGTGGACAAACGATATGATAAGGGTTTATTACGTTTTAAAAAATTTGAAACCCATGAAAGTCCTGGTAAATTGTTTTTAAATGTATTTACTTTTTTTCCTAGTCTATCTAAATATGACTTAACTATATATCGAAAATCAGTCTTATCCACAGGAAATCCATAATCACACATTAATATAACATGACTTGTGAAACATTTTTCTTCCTCTTCTGAGAAGATAGTTGGACGACCCCAATGATTGCCATGTTGTTTTTTTAACTTATAATTGAGTGTACGCCGTGGTATGTTATACAGTTTTTCAGCCTCTCTTTGGGTGATTTTTTTGTTAATTATATCATTCAAACATGTTTTTAAAATTTCATCTGTATAATTCCTGTATGTTCGAGAGCCTACGGCCCTTTTATATTTGTTTGGCATGCTGAAAAATTATAAAAAACCAACAATTACATCCAAATATACAAACAAAAAATAACTTTGCACCATCAAAACGTCTGGTGCAAAGTTATTGAAAAATAAGGTACTTTTGGTTTTTTTTAACAAATTTAGTGCCAGCAAAGTATTTAAGAAAAAATTATAATGAAATGCAATGTATTCTTTATCCTGACAACATTCATAATATATAAAATAATAACTTACCTCTTAAAATATTTTTTTAATGTGCGAACTTTGCCTATTTTTTTCAAGCACGGTTTGTTGTAAATGATAACGTTCCTTATCACGGACACATATTTTCGAGGGAAATCCTGATACTGATAATAAAATCGGTTCCAATCATTAGTCATGAAGTTAGGAACAAGATTTTTTTTAAAATAGTTTCATACCTAAATTAGTTTCCAGGTTATGACAATTAATAACAAAAAATTATTTTGGTGCAAAGTTGACTCCCCTGGTGCAAAGTATCCTAATTTAAAGTATCCTAAGTACCTAATTTCTGAGTTATTATAGTAATAGGTAACTATTATGTAAATATGTAAAAGATAATAATCCATAAAAATAGAATTAAAAAAATAAACAGTAGGTATGAGTGTATACCTATTATAACCGAAAAACTACTCGATCGACTTTTGGTTTAGATATAATATATTAATATGCTTTATTTATAAGCATAAAAAAGTGAACATTCTTAAAAAATTACAATGTATAAACATTAAACCAAACAATTTATTGATTTGGTTCGTTTGTGAATTTAATTTATTTAAATACATAAAAACTAGGTATAATAGTCCAACCATTATAGGCAAATGTGCATATTATGTATTATATGCATGAATGCATGATACAATTATGAAATATATTTACGATAATAATGCACCATGTGTACCTTTCAGTGCGGCGAGATCAAAAACTAAAATATTGGGGATAAAACTATGGGAATAATCTAGTAAACATTTGCATGCATTTTGAAGCTATGTTTAACAAAATTATACAAACACATTTGTGTATACCTAATATTTTAAAATGTCGTAATTAACCACAACGTAAGGTCTTTGAATTTTGGGCGTAGAAACAAAAACGTTATCTGTAGTCCTGGTCCTGGACTATTTAAAAAACTATAAAAAATAATAAATAGTACAGCATTTTGATCAGAAATTATCCATCCTCTCGTCTAATGGATACATATTGACTATAATAAGAGTAGATGGTAAAATAGGAGAATAATATAATATTACGTAATTCATTTTTTTTTTTTTATGTCGGTATCTAAGTATAATAAAACATTTTTTCAAATATCTATAGATTAATATATTACAATACATAGGTACAGATTGTATTGGTGATCGTGACAGTTTTTTCAAATTAAACAATAACGTTATATGTACTCCTGGGATAATATATAAGCTAATACCCACGTACATCATGTTCAAATAAATACACTTGTGAAATTACAAATGTCTTAAAAATACGCTAAGTATGTTCAAATAATTTTAAATTTAGAGCATTTATTGTATGCATTTGAAATTTCAAATAAGTAATAACCCATGTCGGGGGCTGGCGTGACGTCTCGCCAACCCACCGACGGGTTTATCGATATCCCTTTGGAACGAATAGCGTACGAATGTTTATATTACGTACGAATAGTGTGCAAAGTATTGGAAAAAGAAATTTCAAATAACCAATGTCGGAGGCTGGCGTGACGTCTCACCACCCCCCCCCCCCCCCCCGACGGGTTTTTGATATATCTGAGCCACTTTGTTCATACAAATTCAGGGTGATTCATTTAACGTAAAACACTCAATATTTCTCAAAACCATTTACTTTTTTCAAATTTTTTTTTTCAAAATTTTAGATCCATGCTGTTCTAGAACTATATATTTTTTTTTTTTTCACCCCTATATTTATTAGGTAAACCACTATCAACTTTTGATTTTCAAATGACAACCTTTACTTAAAATTTTATAAACTAATAAGGCTATTTTTTAATGACTTTTCACATTTAAATTTTCATTATTCGTTAATCCGTTGACGAGATATAGCTTCTCAAAGTTGGATGGTTTTTGGTGGTGTTTGTGTGTAAATACCACTTAGACAGTAGATAGTAGATACCCTAGTATTTTTATACCGAGGTAAAAGATATTACACTTTTCAAATCAATTTATCAAGTACAATGTACTGTAAGCTTAAGTTTTGCCCAAAAATGTATTTTATAATACTCATTTAGCTAAGGGTTTTGGGTAGTTCACCCCACTGAAAATGATAGCCGGTATTTATGGCCGCATTAGTCATAATAATACATTTTATCAAATATAAAGACCAGAAGTTAAATGTAATAACATACAAGTCCAAAGTATAATAGTGATAATCTTTGTACTTTGTACCTAAAGCACAAACTCGTTACAATAACTGATTGTCATAGTGCCATATTATAATAAGTAATTGCCAATTGGATCATAACTGTCACTTATCGCATACATACTTACCTAATTGAGTGTATTCATCACTGTATTCATCTACACTATACCCATTTACGATTAGATACAATAGACTAATTTTTATTAGATATTATTTTGTATTGTTCTCCTATCTGCTGTCTTCTGTGCACTCTGTGCACGGTTATAGAGGAGCGTCTAAACACAGGAATGCACCTTATGCATTTTGCGCATGCGCGTAATTTATTCTCCACTATCATTTATTCATGTTGGGCTGTTATCAATATATTATCTTATCACTATAATACGATGATTTAATTATAGGAATCAAACTATTCAAAATTTAAACATGCTTACATTTTTTTTGTAACACACATAATATCATTTGATATTTGTATACTACCATAAATTGTATATTATTAAAAATGATTTACGGCATATCTTTACCAAATAATTCATTATACATTGAAAAGTTAATAATTTTCTAAACTGAGTTGAGTCGTCTTCGTGTTGCAAACATCTGTAGAAATATTATTGTAAGTATTCCATGTTATATAAATAATATAATATAATATAATAATAATAATTATATCCTGTGTTTAGACGTTCCTCGGTTATAGTACTTGTCTACTATCAATTGCTATCAATATATTATCATGTGTTTTGCTCTGTGCTGATATCATAGTTCCATGGAATACATGGAGACCACGATTATAAAGAACAGGTTAGACATCGGTAATACGATTTGTACGCAGCTGCCCGGTCAGAACTCGTTACGGCGTCCATTAGCTGCCGAGCGCTGCTAGTCAGACGTGTCAGATTTTCATTATTCCATATTACATTATTACCTTTTGGTTATTATTATGTTAGCCCATCACGATTTTAGATTTACGTTTTACATATTAATTATTATTATGTAAACGTGACGTTGTGACTTGACTTTTGTAAAATGCCGTGTTCATGCTGTGTCGTGTATTGCACATCTGGCTACAAATCAAACACTAATAAAGGCATGATTCATCAAGCCGCTGGACCTAATGACCATCCAAGAAATTGGCCAAATTATTACATATTTAACTATTAGCTTTTATAATTTCGTAAGAATATGTGCAATATCCTCTTCATTTTTTGCTAATAAATATTTAAAATTATGTTGTTTTTATTTTTCAAAAAATTGAAGCTTACGCATTTTTGCTTTTTGCTTTTCAGCTCATTAGTTTACTTAACGTTGACTTTATTTTTAATTGTTTTTTAATTATTTAGGTTACTTGTTTACATAAACTCAAAATTGTATCCAGAGAGGGGTGCTAGAGTGCTATAGCACCCCTCTTGGCATGTTGTTTCCTGGAAAACTTATACTCTACAGAACATTTATTTTATTTTCAGTAAACTCCAGTCTCCAAGACCTAGATAACTATACTAGTTTATAATTTATACTTGTATAGTCATATATACCCTGTGTTTACAATGTGTAAAAAAATTGTTGTGGTAATTTAAGGAAATTACTTTATAGGAAAAAAAAAGTTTTTGCCACCCCTGTACCAATTAAGGTATTTGTTATTTTTCTAGACAGATTATTTAAATAAACAAATAAGAATACAAACAAATAGTATATGATACTAACTATGGTATAATTGTACTGCAATAGAAGTTATAGAACATATTATGATATTGCAAAATTTTTTTCTTTGAAAATTAAGTAAGTTGAAATTTTTAAAATGTAGATTGCAAAAAAATGTTCACAAATCATTAGTTACAAATACGTGTAATCACCTAAAATTCTCGATTATCCGCATTTATGCATACACTCATTAAAATAATTAAGTTCCTAAAAAAATATATTATACTTTTATATTATACTTTTGTTTCCAAATCGTAAAATAAAGTGATAGCCGATAGGCCATACACGACCACGATTATAAAGAACTTTAGAACTCTTTAAGTTCTTTATAATCGTGTACACGACACAAGCAATATCAAATAATGAAAATCTGACACGTCTGACTAGCAGCGCTCGGCAGTTAATGGAACTACGCCGTAACGAGTTCTGACCGACGATCCAGCCCACGTCGCTTAACCTGTTCTTTATAATCGTGATGGAGACAGATACATGTTGATATGAGTATACCCGTTACCTAGTAACCATGGATCATACCATGATAATACGTTGAGTAGATATACGGTTGTCGGACTTCGGTTAGGTTATAAGATAATAACAACAAATTGAATCATGAATCGTGGTCGTAATTCGTATAAAAATATTAAATAAAATATTTAATTTTTAAACTCTACAGTTCTAATACTTATAGCATATACTTATACTTATAGCATATACTTATACTTACAATACTTGTAGCATATACTGATTTTTTTAGAAATTATAATAATTTTTTAAAGAAAATTGTATATGTGCTCTAGAATCTTGATCTTTGCGTTTTGTTCTTAAAAGTCATGCATATTCTCAACTATTATAATATATGTAAATTGCTATTTAGATGTAAATCGTATTATTATTTTGCTATTTCAAGATCTCAAAACAGCAATATGGTT